ATCTCTTACATTTCAGTGTCATTTATGAGCCAAACTTCAATTCTGCTGAGCTAATAGCCAAAGAATTATACCGAGTATTCCGGAAGTGTTGGATGTTGTCACAAGTTAATTATCAGCTGGCAGGTTCCCTGAATGCAGCTGGCTCAATAGTAAGTATGAAAATAAGTTGATCTTGCATTGAAATTTCCTACATTCACATTTTGCCTGCTTTTCACTTCACACATGTATGTGTTTCCTTGTATGGTCGCTGGGTGTTGGAGAAGGCCAAAAAGGATGGATGAATCTGATATTTATTGAGTGTTTATTATGCACCAGAGACTGTGCTCAGCAATACACATTTTAATCCTCATAAGAATTCTATTAGGTAGATGCTGTTGTTATTTTTGTTTTAAAATGTTAGCTCCAGACACTCAGCAGGGCCAGTCAGTGGTAGAGCAGGAGTCAGGCCTCAGGCTGCCTAATTTGAAAGTCTAGGCTGGTTCCCTGTAGAGCACTCTGCCCTCTGACAGCATACAGCCCCTGGGGGGCGGCGAGATGGGGGGGCGCAGAGAACTTTGTGGCAAAGGCTAAAATAGAAGTAGGCAAAAACCACTCTGGAAACGTGGGGAAGCAAAGGGCAGTTGGAGCACAGTGATATGGAGGTGTGTTGGGGGTGTTTACTGAACAGAGTGATTTGATGTGGTTGCATAATATGTGTTTGTCTATATCTGTGTGTGTGTGTGTGTGTGTGTGTGTGTGTGTGTGTTGCAGGAAGGGACCTTGATCTTCTTGGGAAATAAGTCTTGAATGATAGTGGCCCAATTGTGCAGGATGTAGAATACTAATTGGAGGAGTTTGGATATTAAATTCTACTAGGAAAGCTGAAGGATTCACAGGAGAGCCAAGCAGGAAATGGGTTTAAAAGAGCTGTTTCTGGGCAAGTCTGACAACCACAGGGGTTCTGATTGACAGCATCTGTCAGTCTATTGACTAAGAGGCGGAAGACTTCTGCTGTGCATGAAAGCATTCCAGGACACAGTGACCTACTTACCGTAATTTGAAATCTGGAAACAAATGAAATAGCTAAAAAAACTAAGAAACTAAGAAAAGTGATCTCATCTGGGTGGCGTTTTAAGCAATTTTTCTGCAGATAGCTTTAGATCCACGAAGGGCTCTTGCCATGTCCTTTAGTTCAGTTGAAAGCAGTTTAAATTTTTCATGGTAAATTGTAATGTTAGAAACACATTGGTGAATGCCCTTTTAATTTCAGTTCCTAGAATACGCGTGTTTAAGTTGTCCCTAAGTCCCCTTCTATGTCATGCAGGTTGTAAATGAAGAGCATATCCGAAAAGACTTTGAATCCAGTGTGGATGTTGTAGAGGAAATTAAACTTAAGTCGAGGATCAGAGGGACTGAAGACTGGGCACCCCCGAGATTTCAAGTCATAGTTGATGTTCATCCACCACTCAAGTAAGTCTGGGTTGCTGCTTGGGCCTCCAATCTGGTTAGAACAGGTTGTGGTGGTTTCCACCTGACTCTTTATGGAAGTAGGTGAAGGAATGCTGAGGGACAAAGGGAAGTTTGTTTTAGGAAAAGGAAACTTGGGCATATTTTTTTGAGTTAGCTTTCTCAGCTCCCTGTTTATCATGGGCTTTGAGCGGGGCTCTAAGTTCTGACAAGTTGAGAATTTAACTGACCGTCCTTAATTATGAACATTACATAGCAACTGAAAAGTAAAGAGGCTTAAAGGGTATTTTTTAAGGAGCTAATATTGAACCTGAAAAATCATATACAATAATTTCAAAAGACTATACTGCTCTATTTTCCAGTGCCATGTAGAATAAAAATCAGTGAATACATTTTGTTTTTTAAAGGAAATTTAATCCTGGGGAGAGCTCTTATAGTTAAAAGGCACAAGGGTAAGAGCTCTACATACTTTTACCATGACCATTGTTGCTGACCCTGAGCTATAATAAAATTTTACAACTTTCTCTGTATTTGTAAATCACATGTGAAATCGTGGCACCAACAGTTCAATAGAAAACAGTTCACTGGACGGTCTCTCACCAGAAATTGTTGTATAGTTTGGTCTTATATTATCTCTTATTTGCTTGGATCCGCTTGTGAACTTCCCAAGTGGGTATCGTGGGTATGCAAACTTTCTTCCTGCGTACCTGTGTCTAGTTGTCTCTGGAGAGAGGATCCTGCGTGTGCTGTGAGCCGTCTCTGCAGACCCCTGGTGGAAGTGATCTTTGTGATTCTGACTTCTTGGTTGTAGCAGGGGCTTTTAAAACACCCAGGGATTTCAACTAGAAAACTCTACTGAGTAATTCTATTTCTTTCCCAAATGAAAAAAATGAGAAAATTAAGGCCCCAAGCCAAGCAAAGTATCATGATGTCAACTTTCTAATCAATGAAAAATGCTCCATTGGTTTGTTTGTTTGTTTGTTTGTTTCCAAAATATAACTGTTAACTGTTTTCTGTATTCAGGAGGGATCTTGTGGTGGCAGCCCAGAAATTTTTCTGTGCTGGCTGTGGAACGTCAATAGAACCTAGTAAGTAAGAAAATGCACTACCTGCTTATTATGCGATGACAGGGCAGAGAATAACGAAGTTGGGCAATGCATTGATATGTGAGAGATGCCTTCGGTGAGAAGTTAGTGTAAGAGCTTTGTAATGTTGCCCTCTCTTTCATGAAGAGGCCATCGTGACCTACAACACTATGTGACTGGCCTCTCAGACTCATCACCTAGTTCCCTCCCCATCGGCACTCATCTCCAGCCACGTCCCCTCCCTGCTGGTCCTTGAAGGTGGCAAGGCTTATTCCCGACTTGGATTTGCTTTTGTGGCTTTCTGTCCCTGAAATGACATCCCCATGACCGGTTCCCTTACTTCCTTCACACCTTCCCTCAAAAGTTATGAGATTTTTCCTGGCTGCCCTATTGAAAATATCCACCTTGCCACTAACATACAAATGTACAGGTTATATTACCGTTCCTTCTTATTATTTTATTCTAGGACTTATCTTCCTAAAATACCTTTTTAGACTTGACTGATTGTTCTTATTATTGTCTGTCTCCTTCTAAGAGGTGTTGTCTGTTGTATTCATTCCTTTATCCCGTGCTCCTACAAGGGGACCTGGCACACAGTTGGTCCTCAGAATATAAATTTGTTGAATGATCGAATGGCTTACCAAGGAGCTATCAAAACTCCTCTGAGAGGGTTTGAGGAATTGGCCTCAAGGGGATCATTCCTCACCCAGCTGAGGCCTAGAAAATGAGGCTTCCCATAGTCAGGACTACAAGTTGCCCACTTGAGACTGGAAATCACTTGTTCTGCTGTGAGGGTGTCCATAGGACTGACCTGTGGAAAGCCAGGAAGACGAGCTTTGCTGGAAAGGGTTCCCTTGGCCTTTGATAGGTGTCTTGGGAGGAAAGAGACTGAGGACCTGCACCTCAAGAAATCAAAATAGAAAGCACAACTCCGTCTGGGCTTCTTCTGCCATATTGAATTACAATGCCTGCCACACATCACAGTTAACTAACTCATCTTCCCCAGCCAGTCTATTTGGTTAACCACTGTATTCTGGCAACTCAGTAAATATTGAATGCATAAGCTAGAAACTATGAGCACATGACTATGATTCCACTAACTTTTCAAGTACTTCCCTAAGTTTACATCGATACAGAGATGTGTGCCTGCACTGTTGATACAGTCATGGTCCTCCCATCATGAAGCTGGCTTACAGGAAGAAATAGTCATCAGCCAAGTAAACAACAAGGAAGTTCCATGCAGAGAAAGAGATAGTTAAGAGTGCTGTGGGATTTACAGTTAGGGAACTTGATGGGGCTTGGGCTGGGAGTAAGAAGTTTTGTAAGTGATTATCCCCAGAAGAGTGTGGGGGTGGGGTGGAGGGAGTCATCCTGCCCAAAGGGCTTGAGGCTATTGGAAAGAAATCTTATGTGACTGGAGGTAAGAATGAGAGGAGAAAACTGGCTGCAGAGATAAGGAGAGCATAGATTCTGGAGGTATTATCAACCACGTAAACAATTTTGGACTTTTTCTGTGAAATTTCTATAGTTCTTAGGATAATGTTTTTTAAGCTTTTTATTTTGAGATAATTTTAGACTTACAGAAGAGTTGCAAAGATAGTACACATTCTTAGGATAATTTTTTTAAACGGTTTATTTTGAGATAAATTTAGATTTACAGAAGTGTTGCAAAAGTAGTACACACATCTTGTGTACCCTTGAATTCACCTGGCTTCCCCTAAAGTTAACATAATAATCATAGTATAATTATTAAAACTTGAGAAATTAGCATTGGTACAATCCTGTTAACTCTCTACAGACTTTATTCAGATTTCACTAGTGACCTTTGCCTGTTCCAGGGTCCAATCCAGAATTCCACATTGAGTTTAGTTTTCACGTCCCCTTTGTCTTCTCCGTTCTCACACATACTGAGACATTTGAAAAGTGAGGAGTAGACAACATGACATTTTACCCTTCAGACTTTAGCATGTCCTAACAATAAGGATTATGAACAGTTATCACACCAAAGAAAATAACAATTCTCTAATATTGTCTAATACTAGTCCATATTAATTTGTTGCCCTTAAGATGCCATTTATAGCTAATTTTTCTATCCAGGTTACAACCAAGTTTCATCCATTGCATTTAGTTATTCTTTCTCGTTAGTCAGCTTTATTCTAAAACTGCACTCTCCAATATGGTAGTCATTATCCCCTGTGACTACTTAAAATTAAATTTAAATTAACTGAAATTAAAAATCCAGTTCTTCATTGACACTAGCTGTATTTCAAGTGCTCAGTAGCCACATGTGGCTAGTAGCTACGGTATTTATTGGACAGCACAGATCTAGAGCTTTTCCATCTTCACGGAACGTTCTCCTGGTCAGCACTGTTCTAGAATTTCTGCCTCCTATTTTTTTTTTCTATGATGTCGACTTTTCCTAAAATGTGAGTAGTTGTGGTTCAGAGCAGGGTTTCTTAGCCTCAGTCATATTAACTTTGTTGTGCGTTGCTGCCCTGTGCATTATAGGATATTTAGCAACATCACTAGATGCCACTATCAGCTCCGCATTGTGACAACCAAAAAAGTCTCTAGACATTTCCAAAATCCCTTGGGGTGATAAATCACTCCTGGTTAAAAACTACTGGTTTAGGATGTTTTGTTCCGTTTTAACCAAAAAAGAGAGACATACTTTATTCTGTATTGATAGTATAATGCTTAGTGTAAATTTAATGAAATTTGATGAATGAGTGACTAGATGTTGAAATGTTAGGATTTTAGATGTTGGAAAAAGATGAATTATATCCAGGAAATTTATAGGCCTTTCCTGTCCTCGTTTTTTTTCCCATCTTGCTAAGTTTGATCAGAAATGTAGAGTGCAGGGGCTAGGGTATACCTCTCTTTTTGCTCATTTAATATAAAATGTATCAAGGCCCTATCATAAGCAAATTCATACTCATTATCGCTGCACCAGAGAACTTCATCCAGTGTGGAAAAGAGATGCAATACAATAGGCTTTTCAAAGTTTCAAGTTTGAGAACCCAGACATAATTACTAGGTACTTAATAAGTTCTCAACAGATAATTTGTCAGCTCTACAGAGATGTCATATAATTAATTCAGGGTTTGATAATAGTGTCTGTACATATGTACTTACAGTTAACCCTCATTATTCACGAATTCCATATTTGCGAATTCACCTGCTCGCTAAACTTTATTTGTAATTCCAAAATCCACACTCACCATGTTTTCAGTCATTCACAAATAGGCACAAAACACCAAAACATTTGCGTGACCTGAAATTTGAATTGCTGGATGCATGTGTTCCCAGCTAAAGTTGAGCAAAGCAGTGCTCTGCCTTGTTTTAGCTCATACAGTAAACAGGTGTTTTCCACAGTCATTTAGTGCCTTAAAAAAAATTTTTTTTTGAGCTTGTTTTTGGTGATTTAGCTGTTTATAATGCCCCCAAGCACAGCGCTGATGTGCTGTCCAGGGTTCCTCGGCAGAAAGGCCAAGCAAGGTGTGCCTTCCAGAGAAAATGTGTGCTTAGATAAGCTTCCCTTAGGTATGCGTTAGAGTGCTGCTTGCCCTGAATTCAGTGATGAGGATCAACAGTATATTGAATACTGTGTGTTTAAATAGAAAACACACATAAACAAGGTTCTGTATTGATCAGTTGATGACAATGTTGTTCCGAGAGACTCACAGGAACCTCACCCTGTCTTCCCCCCAGGAGCAGTGTTCAATATTCACTAACTCAGTGTCCATGACAAGTTCATAGAACGTTAACTATTTCAGATAATAAGAATCAACTGTATTTGTTTGTATTTAAAAATCAACTCTGAGTGTGGCCTAGGTTTGAGGGTAATCCGTACAAGTGCAAAGGCATTAGTTCCTGGCCCTCGTCCTCCATCAAATGTGGCAGAGCCGGAGCGGGATATGACGGCTGAAAGCTGGAGCTTCACCAGTGCAGACTTGGTGTTCTGCCTGCCTGCTGACTGTTTGTGGTCTCAGGCATGTGACTTAACCTCCCTGCCTTGTGCTTTCTTCAGTGCAGTAGGGGAGCTAATAGTCCCGACCTGGTAGAGGTTCAAGCACAGTGTAAGACGGTTAACTGGTGCGTGACACAGATTTAGTGTTCAATAAAATTTTGCTCCTACGGTCACTCAGACCTTGTTTATTGTAAAGTTATTATAGGGAAACCGTTGAGAATCAGTGTGCTGAGTCCTATGGTAGCTGCTTTGCCATCGTTATTTCATTTAATCCTCACAATATGTGTCAACTAATGTGAGCCGAATGGTGAATCATAAATATGGGCCTCAGCTCCTGTTAGATAGACCCCAGGAGGCTTCACTGAATTGCTGTTTTCTTTCTTAAGCTGGGTGATATGTACCCAGCTCTTTGTTGCATTAGTCTCTATACCTTTTGCTCGTCAATATATTTTATTGGAAATATTTCTAAAAGAATATATGTTCATTTTAGCAAATTAAAAAGTGCAAAGAGCAAAATTCCTTTCCCCCACCCTCCAGTATTTGCGGATGACTTTTGGGTGGCGATCCTTTTGGACTGTGTATGTATTTGAAGTGCACTGTACTTATTTAACAGATATTTAGATTGCCCCCCTCTTCTTCATTATAAATGTGCAGTAATTAACACCTTTCTGTATCTCCACGTGTGTATGTTAGCATTTCTGTCTGATGCCACTGCATTGGATTCATGCTGCACGGTTAAGAACTGAAGTGTATCACAGAAATGTCCTCCTCACAGGTAGCCCTCCTGTGAGCACTAAGTGAGGGACACTCTACGCCTCACCAGCTCTGAAGTTCTGTGTGACAACTTGAGGCAAAACCAAGTTGTTCACTCTTTTAATATGCGTGTCTTTATTTATTAACAATAAATTTTATGAACAATCAGTCAGATTGTTACTGAGATGGAGTGTTTTTCACATCTTTACTGGTTACCTGTATTTCTTCATTCCATGCATTGCCTATTCTCATCCTTTGTGCATTTTTGTATTTTTTTTTTCTCACTGATTTATCCAGGAGTTCTTTTGGATACTTCTTCCAAATAGTGTATATATAGTGCTTTCTAATTTACGAAGCACTTTTCATATGTATGATATCCTGTAATCCAGTTCTGTGACCTCAGGACAGTTAGCCTGAAGAGATCCCGGCTTGCCTTTGCCTTCCTGCCAGTTAGAGTCGGGGTCTGGACTGCCACCTGACGTCCAGACGCTAAATCTCTTGCTCTTTCGGCAACACTGCAGTTTACAGTGCCCATCTAAATCCAGCAGTACTTTGGGAGGGTTCTGTTTTTCCGACATCTGTTCCACAAAAGCAAAGCTCATGATTGGTCATGATTTACGGCCTCCAGTCCCTGCCGGAGCTTTCCCAGCTGCTAAGAGGTCGAGTGTGGCTTCTGTAGCAAGTAAACAGCCATCTGAGCCTTGAACCTTGGGTGGAATTGGAGGTGGGGTCGGCGGGATAGGTTTTCAGCGCCGGCTGATGGGTGCTCACCCGCTGTGTGCTCCGCAGAGTTTGTGAGGAGGCTCCGGTACTGCGAATACCTGGGCAAGTATTTCTGTGACTGCTGCCACTCATACGCGGAGTCCTGCATCCCTGCGCGGATCCTAAGCATGTGGGACTTCAGGAAGTACTACGTCAGCAATTTCTCCAAACGACTGCTAGACTGCATATCGCACCAGCCCATTTTCAATGTGCTGAACATCAACCACAGTCTGTATGCCAAGGCCAAGGAGCTGGACAGAGTGAGGGTGAGCAGCTGTCCTCTGCAGGGGAGCCAGCCCAGCAGCCGAAAGGGTCCTGCGGCCGCAAATGCACACCCAGACAGACTCTGTGAGGAGTAGCTTTACTGTCCAGTGGATGGAGCTTACGCTTCAGGGCCGCTTGCCTGCACTAGCTCTTGCGAAGGCCACTTGCCAAATTTTATATTTATGCATAGTTTTGCATTTATACATAGCTTTTGAATTTTATTTATAATGTTTTAAAAGAAAATTGTACATATTTAAGTGTACAACATGATTTGATATACATAGTGAAATGATTACTAGTCCATTAACATATCCATCTCCTCACATAGTTGTGTGGGTGTGTGTGTGTGTTTATGTGTGTGTGTGGTGACAGCACCTGAAATATACTCTTAACATATTTCCAGTATTCAATACAGTATTGTTAACTACAGTCATCATGCTGTGTGTTAGATCTCTAGACTTATTGAAGCTACATTACTGTAACTATGTACCTTTTGACCAACATCTGCCCATTTTCCCCACCTCCCCGCTCCTGGGAACCAGCATTCAGCTCTCTGCTTCTATGTATTTGACTTTTTTTGGCTTCCACATATAAGAGAGACTGCAGTTTTTTTCTCAGTCTGGCTTATCTCACTTAGCATAATGTCTTCTGGGTTCATCCATGTTGTTGCAAATGGCAGGGTCTCCTTCTTTTATACATAGTTGTGTGTTTTTCTTAAAGAAAGCTCCCAATGTTGTGTAAGCTTTAGGGTCCACAAAACCTGGGTCCCTCCTGAACCCTTTGTGGATCTCTGGACTCAGTCATGGGCCCTGCTATATGGATGTCAATGATTTGTTTTACAGAGTTGTAGCATTTCAAGGTTGGAAATAACATTTAAATTTGACATATATGTGTCCGGTGTCATTTATCACATTTAAATCTTCACGTGTTTGGTTTCTCACATTAGGAAATCCAGGAGCAGCTATTTCATATGAAGAAGCTGTTGAAAACCTGCAGGTTTGCCGAAAGGTAATACTATTGTGGTTTGGGACAGTTTGGGCATGTGAGTTGGGAAGACTGATAACCTCCCTCGGTGCCCCCTGATCTGGCTCCTCCAATGCCTAGTGCCTCTTAGCACAGTACAGTTGTCCCTCGGTATCTGTGGGGGATTGGTTCCAGGAACCCCGTGGATACCAAAATGCTCAAGTCTCTTATATAAAATGGCATCATGTTTGTATATAACCTGTATTTGCATATAGGCTACAGCAGGGTCTGCCTACACATCACTTCATTCATATGGATTCAGCATAGTGCATGGCACATGGCAAATTTAAGTTTGCTTTTGGAACATTCTGGGATTTTTTTTTCCAAATATTTTTGATCTGTGGATGGTTGAATCCTTGGATGTGAAACCCAGCTCACAGATACAGAAGGTCAACTGTGATTACCTTGTTTCTTTTTTTGGGAATGCAGACCCTCCCTTTAAAGTTATCAAACCTTCTAACCTATTAGTAGTAAATTTACTTGAATAAGAAAAATGGGTCAGTACAAGGATGAAACAGCTCTACCCAGTTGTTTCTCATTATTATTTATTATTATTATTATTTTAAATTGTGGTAAAATAAACAAAACATAAAATTTACCATCTTAACTATTTGTAAGTATACAGTTCAGTGGGTTAAGTACAATCACATTGTTGTACAACCATCACCACCGTCCATCCACAGAACTCTTTTCATCATACAAAACTGAAACTCTGTGTCCATTAACAATAAATAACTCCCCCGCCTCCTTCCCCCCCAGACCCGGGCGATCACCATTCTATTTCTGTAGCTATAAATTTGACTACTTTAAGTACCTCGTGTAAGTGGAATCATACAGTATCTGTTCTTTTATGACTGGCTTATTTCACTTGGCATCATGTCCTTAAGCTTTGTCCGAGTTGTAGCATGTGCCAGAATGTCCTTCCTTCTTAAGGTTGAATGACATGCCATCATATGTATATGCCACATTTTGTTTGTCCAATCATCCATCTCAAGGGGGGTGCGGATTGCTTGCATGTTTTAGCTGTTATGAATAGTGTTGCTGTGAGCATGGGTGTACCAATGGCTTTTTAAAAACCCCTAATAGAGAGAGGCATGTCAAAATTTTATTTGCTGTATAGTATTCTAGCCTATGATGTGGTCATTTAAGTATTTTCCTATTACTGATAGATTCTTTATATATATTAAACCTAATAGATTTTTAATATTTAATAGATCTTAAGATATATTTTTAATATCTTTTGTTATTTAAAAAACTAGGTTTTACCTAGCATAATACTGTCTAGGTTCATCCATATTGTCACAAATGGTAAGGTTTCATTCTTTTTTATGGCCAAGTAATATTCCATTGTATATACAGAGGGTGCCAAAAAAATGGATACACATTTTAAGATATGGTCAACGTTGCTCAAGCAGTAGTTCACTGTAATCAGAAGTGTCTGGCCACTGATGGTAACCACTTTGAGTAGCTCTTGTAATTGCAGAAGTCAAATGTGACTTGTATTCATCTTTTGGTATCAGTATATTTTAAGTATTACAATTTTAATAGTTTTTTCCTTTTTTAAATGTATACACTTTTTTTGGCACTCTATGTATGTACCACTTCTTCTTTATCCAGTTATTTATCAATGGACACCTGGGTTGCTTCCATATCTTGGCTATTGCAAATAATGCTGCAGTGAACATAGAGGTGCATATATCTTTTCAAATTAGTGTTTTGGATTTTTTCAGATAATTACCCGAAGTGGGATTGCTGGATCTTATGGTAGTTCTATTTTTAATTTTTTCAGGAACGTCCATACTGTGAAATAAGTCAGAGAAAGACAAATACCATATGATTTCACTTATATGTGGAATCTTATAAAACAAAATAAACAAAACAGAAACAAATTCATAGATGCAGAGAACAAACTGATGGTTGCCAGGTGGGAGGGACCTGGGGTTGGGGGGTGCTGGGAGGAATTCAGAAGTCCAAATTAGCAGTTACAAAATAGTCACAAGGATATAAAGTACAGCATAGGGAATATAGTCAATAATATTGTATAACTATGTTTGCTGTTAGGGAGGCATGAGGCTTATCAGTAGGATCACTTTGTAAGTTATATAAATGTCTATAAATGTCTAACCACTATGCTGTATACCTGAAGCTAAGGTGATATCCAATGTCAACTATAATTGAAAATTTTTTTTTCATTAAAAAAAACACAAAAAACCTAGATTTTAGGTGAATCTCTGACCACATCTGTAGGTATGTCCTTAGGATAAACTTCAAGAAGTGGGATTTCTGGAAGCCATGGCAGTAAAGGAATAGGCATGTATTCTATGACAGAGATAGAGAATTTTAAATGGAAAAAGAGGTGACTCAAGGAGTTAAGATTAGTTGTAATAGGATCACAGGTTTAAAAATGTTTTGTTTAGTTTTAAAGCTTATTTCAGTTTCTGATCTTTACTTAATGGTGATATATTACTTTTAAGTTGAATTTTTTTGGAGAGGAGCCGGTCATCTATAGTCATGTGGCCTTGAGCTCTACCTCATGGCATTGGTGTGATGTGTTAATTACTTCTTAGACCCTTAGTTTTCTTGTCTATAACATGTAGCAATAGCCATATTACCATCACAAAAATTTCTTGAATGTCTATTCTGCATGTCAGATTAAAAAAATCAACAGGACTGACTCCTTTACGTTCAGAAAGAAAGTCAACACAACAGCTCATTGCTGGACTGTGGGTTAGGTACACGTGCAGGGAGCCCTGAGGGTGCACAGGAGGCAACATTTTGTGAGGGATGGGGTGGGGAAAGAAACAGGCAAGGCTTCCAGAGAAAAAGCCTGAGCTCAGAGAGAAAGCAGTGTGAGCTGGCTCCCCAGGCTGGATGGAAAACTACTCATGGTTTGGCATCACTAGAATGGCAGTTCACTGTAGGCAGCTGCTGGCTTGGGAATGCAGTGTATATTGGTTATGCTACTCACTGATTTAAAGAGTTCAAGAGGGGATCGGGAGGGTTTGGAGACGGTTACGTTCAGTTTTGAAAGCCCTTGGGACATCCAGTTGCCTGTGTCCAGCCCGCAGTTGGATGTCTGAGTCTTAAGCTCCGTGCTGGCATCATGGATTTGGGGAGCTATAGGCCTGCTGGAGAACAGTAGTTCTGCCGTCTGGGACAGCCATCAGTGACGGCCTTGAAATTTAGCCGGAATCAGTAAGGTGGTGAGTTTTATCTCAGTACACGGTTTTAAGATTTGAAATAACACTCCATTTTCTTTTGTTTGGTGTGTGGGGGGGCAGGCTGCTAGGAACAGATTTCTCTGCTCATTCAATTTTTTGAAATCAGCATTTATGGAATTGTAACTTCTTGGCTTCCAAGTGAACTTGCAAAATGTAAAGTGATGAGTAAGGTTAACTTGTTCTGGGGACTATATATTTTTTTAAATGAGTTAAAAAATTAAATGTGAGTGCCTGGAGAAAACAACAGCCTGCCCACCCCACTGCCCACCCCAGCTTCTGTGTGGGTGAATCCTTGAATCATTTGTTCCCTCTCTGGCAGTGCATTAAAGGAGTTTGAGCAGATGCCCAGATACTTGACAGATGAGCTCCACCTGTTCTCCCTGGAGGACCTGATCAGGGTCAAGAAAGGGCTGCTGATGCCTTCGCTTAAGGACATCCTGAAAGCTTCCCTCGCGCACGTGGCCTGCTGTGAGGTGAGGTTCTCAGGGGGCAGGTGTGTCCCTGAGCTGTCCCTTATCTGTCAGGGCCAGTGCTGGGTGTTCTGCATTTTACATCATTTAACCTCACAGACCCTGAGGGAAGTGCTGACAACTCTATTTCCAGATGGGGAAAATGAGGTTCACAGCTGTTAAGTAACAGGCTAAGATCATTCTGCTAGTAAGTAGCAGGGCTGGGATGCAAGCCAGCACCACGCGACTTGGTCGGGGCGCCCAGCCCTGCTCAGGGCCTTCCTCGACCCCCATCTGCCCTGATGTGCCAAATACAGCCACGTCGACTCAGGATCCAATGGAACAGGAGCTCTTTGTCTTTAGGGACTGATGAATTGAGGTGCAGCTATCAGAAACAAAGTTAGATCGTTTGAGAATACATGTTTAAAATCATGATCTTTCTCTGGTACCTCAATCCGCCTTGATGTGAAACTTCTCCATGCAAAACGAATGCACGCTTATTGTTCTGATCCATTCACTGCAGCAGAATATAACATTCTGTTCCTTCTAAAGGCTGACATCATAGATACACATTTAAAAATTGATGCTTATAAAGTTCTGTAAAAGTGGTGGTTTAGATTCTCCGTCAAAAGAAACATGACCAATGAGGATTTTAACTTTTTGACTCCTCTTACAGCTGTGTCAAGGAAAGGGCTTCATTTGTGAATTTTGCCGGAGTACAGCTGTCATTTTCCCATTTCAAACCGCAACGTGTAGAAGATGTTCAGGTATCTTAATAAATTAATAACATAAATTTAATAGCTTAATAACGTAAGTGCAAAGTTAAAATAAGTTTAATAACATAAGCACAAAGTTAATTTACGCTTAGTAGCATTTCTTTGAATTATTAATGATGCTGCTTATTTGTTGGATTGGAGCTAAGAAAGTTTTGGGCACAGAAGGAGTATTTGGGTATGGCAGGCATATAGGGTGATGTCTGCTGGTACAGGGTTAGAAAGGAGGAGGTGGTTCCTGTTTTGCCTGTGCCCCAATTCTTCTACTCCTGGACAAGCTGTGCCCTCGGGTTTTATAATTGGATGGGCCCTGATAATAGTGCCCAAGGCTGAAGCGTTGTCTCTGGCTTCTTTTGCACTGCAATAGCAGGGTTGAGTAGTTGTCATGGAGATCATATGGCCTACAGGGCCTAAAACATTTTCCGTCTAGGTTTTTACCGAAAAGGTTTGCAGACCCCTGTTCTGCTATATTAGTGTCCAAGGAAATCCTGTGCTCTCTGAACTGTTTCATGGGGGAGATCTTGTGATGAATTCTGCCTTCAGCTTGGGTATGAGCGGGCCCTCCTCGAAGGCCACTTAAGTGTTGCCTCCCCTAACTCATTAAGCAGTGTTACAGAGTGGGCTCCACAGCAGAGAAACTCTGAGGCAGGATTTACGTGCAGAAAGTTCACTGGGGTGTGTCCTTGGGCTTAACACCCGTGGGGTGTGAAGGCAGCAGGATTTGGCAGAAGGAGAGGTTGAACTGTGTTTTAATTGCAATGAAGGCTCAGCACATCTTACAGGGAGCTCTGAAGCTGCAATGGCTTTAACATTGTCCCAAATTGGGGACAAAGGGCCAGCCGAGTCTTCAAACCCATCTGACCAATCACCTGATGCAGTCTGGTGCCAACAAAGGGACATGACCTTGAGCCAGGCAGCTCCCTCTAGTTAAGGCCATTTCCAGAGAAGGGACACGTTCTCCTGACCCATCAGCCACCAATACTTGCAGCAGCTGGGGGAATGACCCTTGGGCCGATCTCAGGGGCACTGTGGCATCCACTCATCAGGTTCTGTGAGCCTCATGTTCATGACCTATTGGAGATTTTATAATCCCTCTGAGTTTCAGACTGCCTGATTTCTTTTTGGAAGACTCTTGTTTCTGGTCTTAGACCCCCTCTCTCCCCAGGATGGGGATGAGTGGTCTGTACATATGTGAGGAAACAAGACAGGTCCTTTGCTAATGGCTGTCCTCCTTTGCAGCTTGCAGAGCTTGCTTTCATAAGCAGTGTTTCCAGTCTGCCGAGTGCCCCCGGTGTGCGAGGATCACAGCTAGGAGAAGACGTTTGGAAAGTTTGCCCTCTGCAGCGACCTGATGCCCCTGAGTACTGTGAAAAGGACTGTTCAACACGCTTTAGGATAACACCAATTTGTGTCTGTTATTGATAACATTGTTTTAGATATCGACTATAGTCTATTAAGAAGGAAAATGGCCAATATTATCTTTATTATATATTTAATATTTTAAAAGAATGCAGATTCTTTGTTATTAAGCGTAGGGTTGTTACTGATGGTTTTGTTTACAAATGTTCAGTGTTTTTGGTGCTACTGTTTTTTAAAGAGTTTTTTTGATACTTATACTGTATTTGAATAGTTGTATTTAACTAATGTTGGAACCTATTTTTGTATGAATTATAACTGACAAGATGAATTGCCCAGCTCCTCTTCCTGTAAAGCTTGTTCTGTTAAACATATTGGTACTTTCGTTGAACAAAAAAGGCAACCAAAAATCTCTTTGCTCGGGCTTTATTTTCAGCTTAAATGCCATTTTGTAACTGTTTCAGTCTCGTAGATTTTACTTATTCCAGGATTTGTATAGAGAATATACATTACTTCCACAGTATATCTATTCAAGATGAATTGGAGGTGCCATTTGAAGCAGTTGCCTCTAGATGGCACCCATCAAACCTATATATATGATCTCTAGTCCTCACCCTCAGTCAAGGGATGCATGGGTCAGTAGAACCTCATCCGTGCCCTTTAGGATTTTGTCTTGTATGTATAAAATTGAACATAGGTATTTGAAGACTTAAGCTGTGGGAAAATACTGTTCCTAACAATGTGATTCTAGTAATAACATTAAAATCATAGACTACAATTAACAAGTTTAGGTGAATCAGTAAACTTTTATGAATTCCTTTTTCCTGATATTTCTTAGATGCTTTCTTCAAACATATGAGCCTATTTTTTTCCTTTACCTCCTTTATACTTCCTCGTACTTGAGAAAGGGCCCTGGGGCTCTGTCCCTCCCTGGCACATGTCCAGTCTGGAGTATTGGTGTCATGTCCCCCAGGATTCATGTGCCCTAACTAAACCTACCCTGAATGTACTTCTCAAATAGCACAAGCAGGCAGGACAGTGGTACAGGCTGTCCCCTAATCCCACCTGGTGTCGTGTGTGTGTGTGTGTGTGTGTGTGTGTGTGTGTGTGTGTGTGTGTATGTGATTCAGTTGGATAATATTGAGCACATGAAAGAAATGAGTGTCTCCTATCTGGTGTCTTCTCATCCTGTCATTTGTTTTTCCATCCCGATGCCTCTGCCAGAGCTGTGTGCCATTTATTATTTAAGTCATGTCTCTTTTAAATAAAAATCTCATCACATGGGATAATATAAATAAGATCAAAATTAAAACAATGTTTTATCCTTACCCATAGCTTTCATTCCTTGTTAGGACTATCCAGGGTCAGTGTGGTATGTTGACATTCCATTGAATAGCTCTATGAGGTTCATGTGCATATGTCCATTGTACAGGTAAGGAAACTGAGGCTTAGAGAAGAGAAATAATTCACCTAGGATCTCATGGGTGGTACATGGTAGAGCTGGGTTGGCATTTGAGCCTGTTGTGCCTCCAAAGCCCGTGTTCCTACCCCTACTTCTGTGGTATCATTTTGAGATGATATGAGCAAAACCACCTTTAACCTGTGAGTTCGACTCCAGCCTAAGTCAGCGGCATTGGCTGAGCGCTCTCTCACAGGGCCTTGCATTGACTTGAGGAAACAAGTCAACTTGTGGTTTATGCATTGCTTGAAGGTCTCTCAGGTACTGTGTTTGTAGGCACTGGTGAGTGTGTACAACACAGCTTTGACATTGAGGGAGAGTGCACAGCAACTGCCAGGAAATGATGCTTTTGATTTTTATTTTGAGGAAGAATGAGGCAATTTAAATAATCACTCTGGCTATTTGACTGAGACATGGTTCCTCCCCACCCTCCCAGCAAGGTTCCTGTTAGAACAGAGAAGTGGCCTCAACCCACAGGTAACACCCCGAAGGGAAGTAATTAGTTGTGATATGGATTGCCTTTTAATGGGATTTACTCCTTGTGTGGTTTTTCCCTTACAACTCTTCCTTGGCTGCCAGAAGGAAGATGAAGACTTGGTCTTTCTCATCAGACCACCACCCACCAAAGGCAATGCTGTGATCCAAATGATTAAGTTTCTGCCTTTATACAGTTCACTTGAAAAATTCCAGTGACATATCCTTTACAGTCGTGATTCTCAGCTGCAGGTAGGGAGTTATACCAGGGGACATTCTGGTGTGTTGACTTGGGTGAGAATTATTGGATTGATTGTCAGATCTGCCACTTCCTACCTGTGTGGCTCTGGACAAGCTACTTAAATTATCTGATCCTCTGCTTGTAAAATGGAGGATAATAACTATATGCAGTTGACAGGAGGATTAGAAATGAAAATGAAGCATCCATCAGAGGGCTTGGTACAAGCAGGGGCCCGATAAGTGGTAATAACTAGGTCTAGACAAATGAAAAACTGAGTTATGCCACCTATTTTCTGTATCTTTGTATAAGTTGCCCTCTGAATCTCAATTTAATATGAGGATTAGAACAATACCTACTATTATGGGTTGAATTGTGTCCCCCCAAAATGTAGGTTGAAATTCTTACTCCAGGTACTTTATTTGTGTGCCCTTATTTGGAAATTGTCTTTGAATATGTAATTAAGTTAAGATAAAGTCATACTAGATTAGGGTGGACCCTGATCCAATGACTGGTGTTCTTATAAGAAGAGGGGAATTTGGGCAGAGATATAGACACTGAAATCAGGGAGAATGCCTCGTGAAGGAGGCAGGGACGAGGGTGATGCGTTTACAAGCCAAGGATTGCTGGCAACCAGCGGCAGCTGGGACAGAGGCCTGGAGCAAGTCCTATCTCGAAGCCTCCAGAAGGAGCCCGCCCTGCCGATGCCTTGACTTTAGACCTAGCATCTAGAGCGGTGAGAGAATAAATTTCTGTTGTTTTAACCTACTCAGTTTGGTAATTTGTTATTGGAAGTCCTAAAAAGCTAATACACCTACCATCTGGGGTTGTTAGGGACGCTAAATGATGATTTCCATATTTTGCCATGTATATAATGTGCTCCCACGTATAATGTGCACCCATGTTTTTGGTCCAAACTTTCAGGGAAAAAAAACTTTCATTTTAATTTTCCAAGGGATTTTCCAATAATTTTTGTAAAAATATCAGCTAGATTGTTAGCTCCCGCCTAAAGTGTATGAAGAGAAATGTCATGCTGTTCACCTTCTGGTAATAGTTAGCATCACCCACCTTATCAGGTCCAAGTCACTTTGTGGACAAAAATATGTCGCTCTTCGTTTCATTTCGTTGAATCACTGGCCCAAATTACTTTTTGCAAGTTCATTGTAAGTGTAACAAAACTGATTATCGTATTCCAGGGTATTATTTTGCTTACAGATATCGTTAGTGACTTCTAGAGTTACACTTTTAACTCATAAGCATAAATAAAAGAATTAAAAACATTTATATAGATATGGAATTAGTACTACCCATGTATAATGTGCATCTTTATTTTTCCCTCACAAATTTGGGGAGAAAAGTGTGCATTATACACAGCAAAATGTGGTAGGTAGAATGTGTAAAAGAACAGGCACAGTTCCTGGCATGTGAGAGACATTATCAGGCATTGGACCTCTTACCTTCAGGCATCAAGACACAGAAAATGGACTTTGAAATATGACAAAATAAAAACTTACACCATCTATAGATTTGTGGGTATCTGTATAGAGATCCCAAAACAGAGAACATTAGCAACCGAACACTACTGCCTCTTCCACCTCAGCTCTTTAGTGTTGGAGAGAGCTGCTTACTTTCAAGTGTTAGGAGACAGCCATGGATTCAGAAGGTGGTGGTTTGAATCATGGTGGAAGGGAGTGAGGGATGCTGGCTGTTACTTCATATTAAAAAGCAGATGGGGCTGGCCGAGTGGCGCGATGGTTAAGAACTGGCTTGGGACGCCAGAGGGCCCCAGTTTGGATCCCACATATGAGGGCCAGTGACACTGC